TATAAAATAACAATATATAACATTTTATTATATAAAATGTTATATATTGTTATCATGTACTATATATATACATATATATATATATATATATATATATATATATATATATATATATATATATATATATAGTAAACTTAAATATTGGGGAAATCTGCAAGAAAAACTCTAATGTGTATCAATTATTTCACCTAACGTTTTCGCCAAAGAGAATTAATTTGGCTTCTTCAGGGCTGAAAGAGAATAAATTATAATTAGCAATTATATATTATCTAATAAAAATCATTTCCCTTACCGTAAATTTTAGAAATGTCGAGTTATGATGTTAAAAAACTTTAGCTAGTAACAACATAGTGGTGTTGTTGTAATAATGTCAAATTATCCTGCTGATATATTTATTTTATTAAATATTTTGTAAAGTATTAACTTTATTAAAGGAATTCTATAGCCAAAATCCAGAAGTATTGATGTTTTTGTCTAATTTTCTTTCGTTGCCTGAAGTAATTGCGTTAAATCTGAATTATGTAGTTGATTTCTAAAATGCGATTATCTCGAAAACTGTTGAGTTTTGAAGTTATTAACAAGTATACCTTTTTTTTGTTAAAATAATGTATATTTAATATCTTTTATCGCAAACATCGGGGTGTAGGGTTGTGTTATAGAGGTAGTACCTTTTACTGGAACGACCACATCGAGCGTCATAGACAGGAGATGGTTCTTGGTAACTGGTCCTCATAAGATACCTAACTCTCACTTATGGCTCCATGTGCCACACCTCAGGCAATTGTATTGGTCTGTAGGCTATACTAAGTGAGGGTAGCCAGACAGGAGTTTTCTGACCCGGAAAACTAGTACCTGCTTAGTGTCCCTTGTCCAGGGTCACGGATGAAGACCACAACGGTATTCATGGTGGAGAAGAACATCTTCCGTACGGTGTGTATGGCGGAAGTGGCACCCCAATTTTAGGGTTAGTATAAAATTAAATGTAGCGTCTGATCCAGAGTGGACGGCTACAAACAGCGTCTGGCTCAGAATGGGCGGCTGATAACTCACTCACCAACCCGCCTGCTGGTAAGAGTGATCTTTTATCTGCCATTACCCCTCATACTTTTATCATGGCGAATAATAAAACAAAAAAAAAGTGGTTCCCAGGTGGGTAAAAAAAAATTCTGAATCCCACACCTCAAAGGTCTGCCTCACTGTATCTGGAGGAGGCAATAATTCGCTTTTGATAGATAAAAACAAAAACCCACTAAGACGACTACAGCATAAATAAAAAAAAATCCGTCAACCTGTCAATAGGGACATACAATATTACATCAAAATCCACAGATAAAAAAGGACATGAACTGGAAGGAAAATTAACAAACATAAAATGGGATATCATGGGCCTATCAGAAACTCGACGAAAAGAAGAAAACCGAATACAGCTAAAATCCGGTAATCTACTATATTATATTATATTATAAAGGAAATGAAACGAAGAGTAAATTTGGAGTAGGATTTATAATAAATAAAGCTATAAGTAAGCATGTCCAAATTATCAAAGGTATATCAGATCGTGTCGCTCATGTCATACATAAAATAAGAAGAACATCAATTCAAATTATCCAGGTATATATCTCTACGACAGCTTATGATGACGAAGATGTCGAACTATTTTATGAAGATATATCAAAGGCTATGGAAGAACATAAAAATCGTATTATACTAGTAGGTGGAGATTTCAATGTCAAACTGGGTATAAAACTAAACAATAAAGAAACTAAAATAGGAGATTTTGGGTATGGTCAGAGAAATGATAGAGGAACTACTTTGATGAACTACCTAAAAGAAAAGCATCTATACGCAATAAACTCCTTTTACAAAAAGAAGCCCCTATGAAAATGGACATAGATCAGCCCTAAAGTATCCACAAAAAATGAGATGGACTACATACTGTCCACGAACGATATATTATTAAAGATGTAACAGTTCTTAACACATTCACAACAGGTAGCGATCACAGAATAGTCAGAGAAAAAATTAGTATTGACAGTAACTATGAAATGAAAAGAACAATAATTAGAAACTGGGATGCAGTAGATAGAAACGAACTAGGGCAATATAAAGGGATACAAAGATCTATCAAAAAAACAACTTACCCAAAAATTAGACAGTGATGATAAAGATATACACAAAATAGACAACATACTTACAGCAACGATGATTACATCAGAAAAAGAAATAGCAAAAAAGGATCTAAAAAAGAACAACTATATATCAACAGAAACAAAGAATCTTATGGACAAAAGAAGGAATCTGAACGATGAAAGCAAAAGAAAATCTATAGAATTGATAGAAATCAATAAAACAATAAGCAAAATGATAAAAGAAAATGGGAGAAAAGAAGAAAAAATAAAAATAGAAGAACTAATACACAAACAAAATAATGGATATAAATGGAGTAGAAACAAACGTTAAAGATGACATCATAAATAAAATCCACCATTTCTACTCAGAATTATATAAAACAAAAAGGAATTACCAGAAGAAATTAAAAACCAATTTAAGGCTAAAATAAAAAATGTCAACTCAGAGCTACAGCCAGATATAAGCAAATCAGAAATAAAGAAGGCATTGAAAGAAATGGAAAACAACAAAGCGCCTGAAAAAGATGGAATAACTGCAGAGATGCTGAAATCTGGTGAAAAAGTGGTAATTAATATTCTACATTCCCTTTTTAACAAGATATTAAAAGACAAAAGAATCCCAAACAACTGGAAGGAATTAGTACCCATTATCCTAGAAAAGAAAGGGGATAAAGCAGATATAAAAAACTACCGTCCTATAACACTCCTCAATGTAATGTATAAACTCCTAACAAAAATTTTAACCAATAGATTGACGACAAAATTCGACGGATACCAGTCAAAAGAACAAGCTAGTTTTAGACAGAAATTCAGCACAAGTGACCATTTACTAAGTATAAAAATACTTATAGAACGAGCAAATGAATACCACATTCCTCTATATATGGCGTTCATATATTTCGCAAAGGCTTTCGACAGTGTCGAATATTGGGCAGTGAAAAGTTCTTTGATTAACAGCAGAATTGACCACATATATATGGAACTAATAGCTGATATATATATATAAGTAAGCCAAAACAACAATTAACGTATGTGAAGGAACAAAATCAATACAAATAAATAGAGCGTGAGGCACCGAAACTTTTTAATCAGGCTATGGAAGACACTTTTAAAAGATTAGAATGGGAAGAAAATGGTATAAAAATTTGTGGACAACGCTTAAATCATCTAAGGTACGCTGATGACATCGTATTGATAACCGATAAAAAAAAGAATTATTTGAAATCATGAAAGAACTGGACATAGAAGCTGAAAAGATAGGCCGTAATATGAATTACAGCACGACCAAAACCATAACAAATAGAGATGAAGTCATCACAATGAGAATGGGATAAGATAATATAGAACAAGTTCAGTATTATATATATATATATATATATATATATATATATATATATATATATCTGGGTGAAACTATAAAACTTAACAAAGAAAGAAAACCAAACAGCAGAGATAAAAAGACGAGTTAGACTGGCATGGGCGGCATTTGGCAAACTAAGCTACATTCTTAAAAACAAAAGATATCCACAGCATCTTAGACGAAAGACCAAAGTATACAATCAATGCGTACTCCTTGTTCTTACTTATGGTTCCTAAACGTAGACATTTACAAAAGCAAACATGAACAAAATCATAAAAACCCAAATAGCAATGTAAAGACAAATGTTGCACATAAGACTAATAGATAAAAAGAGAAACGAGTGGATAAGAGAAAAGATAAAAGAGAAAGTGAGGGATGTTAGACAAGAAGTTGCAAAATTGAAATGGAGATTTGCCGGACACAATATAAGACAAAAAGAAGACCGATGAAACAAAATTCTTATAAGTTGGAGACCATGTGAATATAACCGAGGCAGAGGAAGGCCCCAAATGAGATGGGCAGATGATATCAAGAAGCACGTGGGGTCTAAGTGAATAACTGTAGCGATAGACAGTGCAGAATGGAAAAGGATTGGGGGGGCCTATGTCCAAAGATGGACCGAAGAAGGCTAATTAGATAGATAGAACACAAACACCGGTACATTTTATTAAAGCAATTTGGCTTAAATCTTATATTTTAAAATGTAGAATCTACGATTTCTTTTTGTACAATTACTTAAGGACCACCCTGTATACTTAATATTTAATTTAAATAATAATATATTATAATATTTATATTATCAACCTGATGGTACTGTAGAACAAATATTTGAATAGTGTAATGAGTAATGAGTGTAATCCCTGAGCATAACCTTTGGTTTATCAGGGAATTTCTTCTTTGTTTATTTGCTAACAACTATTAATTTGTTTGTACAAAATATTTAACTTGTAATTAATTTGTTTTTCTATTACTTATATTATATTGAATTATATTATAACATTGTTTTATATTGTATAGCGGGAAATAAATAAACATTATTATTATTCAATAAATTGTTTTAATAGTTAGAATTTAATAGAATTTTTTGTTTTTCGGTATTAGTTACCTTTATTTATTTACCTTCATTAACGAATATACTAACTTTTTTAAGAAATATTTCCAGATTAACACCTTAATAAGGGTTTTTAATAGCCTCCTGGAATTTTTAATAATTTAAATATATGGAAAATACCTTAACAATTTACTAGAAATAAACATAAACAAAAGAAAATACTCGTTTGCGTATTTGTCCAAGCAGATGCTGCTTCTTACGTCAAGGTTACAAGAATAAAGACGTTAAAATTCAAGACTGATCCACTTCTTGTTATTGACCTGGGTAATTCCACTATTTTTAGTAACTTCTAATTTGCATACATGTCATAAAAAATAGTCTTTTATGTGTTTGTTGTTGGTTAGTTTTTCGAAAATCCCCAGATTTTAGGTAATATATAAGGTACTTCATTTCTACTGAAGGCAGATACTTGAAGACTTTTATTTGAAACAGAACTAAATAACAAGTTAACAAAATGAAATACTTGGTTGTTCTTGCTTGTGTTGTAGTTGCGGCCGTGGTAAGTAATCAATTTTAAATAATTATAATATTATTTATTATATAATCTAATCTTGTGAAAACTTATTATGTTATGCCCGAAATTTATTAACTTATTTAGTCCGAAATCTTTTTGATAACGTCTTTTTTCGTCTGTAATTGTAATATCGAATATATGTTGGTATTTGTACAAAAAACTTATTAGTTGCCTACTTTTTAAGGTCTCCTTGATCAACTCTAACTTATAGAGCTGAATTCATTTACACAATTTCTCATTTACTTGGATTTTCTTTAATTCCACCGTATCTAGTAATATTTTTGCACTTTTTTGTATTATGCATTTTTCTCATTTATTCAATTCGACAGCTACTTTTTTTTGTACAATTCTGTTTTTCGGGACTTTAATTGCTCTTTAATTTTTGTAATTAATTTTTCGTTTTGCTTTATAAATTCAACTGGTAAAAAAATTTTTAAAAGTTTTCTTCATTAAATCATCATATATCTACATTTTCTTATAATTGATGTACCTAATCTATAAATGTTTCAAATATTTTCACTACCTGAATCCATTTCAACAGTTTACTTAACACATTCGCTGACACCTATTTATTAGTTACTCACTATTGGTACCACATATACATTCAGTAACATAAGTAGGGTGCCAATACGAAGAATATTTGAAGATTTTATATTACTGTTATCACAATTGTCTTCAAGGTTAGTTAAAAAATAAAATTTAGGTTTGGAGTAGAAGAAAAAAAATTGAATGCCTAAAGGCGCATCTAGCACCTGACTACTGTGATAATTCATATATGCCACCTGACATCGACAGGAGTCAAAAATCTTACGAAACTGAGCTTACAATGACCTTCACAGTGAAAATTAAAAAACTCAACTCAATCCAAAAAAGTACAACATAAATTCAAGTTGTTACTTATAAGCTAATATGCAACAGTCCAAACAAAAGTTGGGAGCGCTAGGAGAGAGTTTACATTAATACACTGTTTCTACAAGTGATCCCTTCTCAGCACATTTCGCACACCGTTTTTGCATAACTTCCTTTTTCACTCTTTTCTTAACGTTTTGTCATTATATGTTGCTACACAATTGACGACTCTTCAGTTATTTCTGAAGTCAGCATATTTTTCACGCCTGCCATAGGAAAGTTGATCTTGATGATCCACTCCAGAGATATACTGATTATATTTGACTATCCGTTCTGGTTTCATTTTATGTATTCCTTTTTTTAAACAGTCTCTTGCATATTATCTCTAGTTTAGGTCGATATGCGAAACACGTCCCTCGTATTCTCTCACTTTCCAATTAGCACACCATCTCTGTATTTTGCAATGGTTTCGCCTTTGGCTAACATTTTTTTTGTAACATCTTTTGGATTATTTTTTCTATTAAGCCTTAGAATGTCAGTACAATGGGTCTTGGCATCCAGAAGATTCTTATATACTTTGAAAGAATTATAGAATTGTCCAAGTAAATAGTCTGTTCATCAGTTTTTTCTGTAATAACTTCAACACTACTTTTTCACTTTGTCTTTGTCCTTCAAAATCATTAATCAGTCCAATGTAAACCACAAACTTAAAAATAATTCCGTTTGATTCTGTAAGCATATACGAGTACAAGAAGAGCTTAATACCGTATTATTTGTGTTTCTTAATGTTTATACATCGCCCAAAATTTAGGCAGCCATGATGTAATACCATTGATTCGTCTTAACTTACTTGTCGTCCAGAATAGTAAATGTCACATATTTTCTGCTAATTGTCCGCTAAATATCTACTAAAATTCAAACATCGAAGAATTAACAAGAATCTACGAATTTGTAATGTTTAACATAACAAAACACTGTTACGTTCTTCTGCGTCTTCTTCTTCAGCCTGTATTCGTCCACTACTGGATAAAGGCCTCTTCCTTTGCTTCCATTGACCTCTTCTGTGCTCTGCCTACTCCTCGCCTATTCTCTCTTATGCTCCAGTTTGTTACACTCTGTGTTTATTTTTCGGGATTATCTCGTGCAACATGTCGGACCCATTGCCCTTGAGCCTTCTTGTACGTTCTGCGACATCAGTAATCTTTGTTCTTTTACGAATGTCTATAGTTCGAATCCTGTCTATATATATATATATATATATATATATATATATATATATATATATATATATATATATGTAAATATATATCAAGATAAAGTCTAACTTGCCGAAAGCTACCGAAGACAATTGTATGTGTCTTTTTATTTCGGCTTTTTGGTTTTCTTTGCCGATTTTAATGGGATGTCCAAGATATATAATAGTGGTCTACATTTTCAAGACTAACGTTGTCAATAACAATATGAGTTTGTTAATTAGTCATTATTTTTGTTTTCTGAAGGTTTATTTTATGACCTATTTTATTTGACTGCTGATTTAATTCCTTGAGCATTTGCTCCAGTTCTTTGATATCTGTACTAAATAATACTATGTCGTCCGCAAACCTCAAATGACTTAAATGTACACCATCAATGTTTAGACCTTTTTGCTCCCAGTCGAGATGTTTAAATACATTTTTCAATGGTAAGGTAAAAAGCTTTGGTAAAATAGGTCTTGTCTAATACCTTTACCAAGACGCATTTTTGCAGTTTTTTTTGTCTTCATTTATTTTAATGTAGAATGTGGCCTTTTCATAAATGTTTTTAATAAGTGTAGTGTACCATGAGTCTATTCGAGCATCCCTCAGGGCTGACAAAAAGGACAAAGTTCCAATACTATCGAAAGCCTTGTGAAAGTCAATAAATGCAATATGTATAGGTACATTATATTCTGTGGGTTTTCAACCACTGTTCTGATGGTTTGTAAGTGATCGTCAGTACCAAACCCATTTCTAAATCCCGCCTGTTCAACCGGTTGATATAAATCAAGTTTTTGTGTTATGCGGTTGATTATTATTCTTGTTAGCAATTTGTATAAGTGTGACAACAAACTTATAGGTCTGTAGTTTTCAATATTAGCAGTCTTCTTTCTTTTGTAAAAGTATTGTTTCGGCGTTTTTCCACAGACTGGCTTTTCTTTTTTTCTGCTAGACACTTATTCAACAAAACTTCTACAACCTCTACAACGACGTTGCTGCCCATTTTTAATATTTGAGACGTTCTACGATCCTCTCCAGAAGTTTTTTTATTTTTCATTTGCTGTAAGGCATTTCTAATTTCCGAAGAAGTTATTTTAGGGAGAGTTTCCGAGCCGACGTTTTCCGGGATTCTGTATAGTAAATGTATACAGATTCGCATATAACGTTTGTATTTCCTTGATTTAAGTTTTTTCCGCCACCGTATTCCCCTATCGGTTTTTGATTTTAGTTATCCCTGATTTCCGTTTAGTTAAATTTGCTTAAATACTCTCATAATTCTATTGTTTTCGATGGTTTGCAATATTATTGGGATTACCCAATCATTTGATTAGTATACTTGTACATAGGTGTACAGCAAGTCCTACCCATTAAAATATATATATTTTTCTTTAATTTAAAGTTTAATTTTTATTGCTTATTCACTACCCTTGATTCTTATACAGTTGTGTGGTTTGCTTTATGACACTGTTATATGAGTCAATTAAAAACTTAAATTAAACATTACTCACCGGCACGAAAAATGGAGCTCTTGCATTTTTAAAATAAAAACTTTTAATCTTAATTCTCTTTAAACTTTTATTATTATAATAACGTAAACACAAATGAAACAAACTGTTTTAAGTAATTTCCAATAAAATCTAACTTTTGCACACAGAATTGTTTTAGTAGATAACAGTTTAACATTTAAGAAAAAAAAAAACGTAAAAAATGTTGTAACAAAATGACGCTCAATTAATCAAATCTTAAATCATGTGTCCTGACAAACTGATTTTAATAATGTTTGCTTGAATTTTTGCCTGAATTCTCTTTTGCATGCCTAAAATCAAATGAGAAATGTTATGTTAAGAAATATGTTCCCATTCCTCTAAAAGGGCTTCTTGTAATTGATTTAAAGTTAAAGGAGCAGGAACACGACTTCGTTACCTTCGCCCAAACATATTCCAAACATGTTCGATTGGGTTTGCATCTAGACTCAACGCTGGCCAATCTATTACAGGAATGTTTACTTCATTTAAAAACTGTCAAGTGATTCTCGCACTGTGACGCTTGGCATTATCATGCATCACAGTCATTTCCAACAAAACTACCATAAGGCACATCAAAATCTTGAGAATTTTATCAATGTATCTGGCAGCTCTTATAGAGCCTCTTGCAACGATGTACAATTCTGTACGTGCGTCTAAAGAAATTTCAGCCCACACCACAATTGAGTCCCCTTGGTACCTATCCTAGGACTGAAGGTACATTCTGCAAAACGCTCATGTGGTCTTTACCATACTCTCTTCTGATTAACCTGGACTGATCGGTCTCCATGTGCCTCATATGCCTCAATGTGCCTCCAATTATTTTCAGTAAAATGAGCATGATTATGGCAAACTTGATGGCGCCTGAGAAGTTTTAGGCATGTTGCAGATCTTCGACTGCTTACATTTGATTCTCCAAGTCTTCATCTAATTTTTCGTTTACTTACTACTTAAGTATTACAGATGTACTGAAGTTGATTTTTCGGATTTGTACAGCTGTGGAACTACGATCTCGTAGACTTTGTAAGAGGATGAGGGACTATCACGGGCAATAGTTCTTCGTTGGGGATCGGTTCCAAGTCGTCTAGTGTAAGCTTCGGTTGACAAGAAACGTGGTAAAAGTACGGTGCACAATACTATTGGATATTTGATACTTTTGAGCAACATATCGGTCACTTTTTCCGTCTTGAAGCAACGCAACAATAGCAGCCACTGTTTCGGTATTTGCAACCATTATTATTGAGATTAAATCAACGCAATTCAACTTTAAGTTGTATTTGATGCTTGATTCGACTTGACAGTTTACTCATATTCACAAGAACAAAAGAATACTATAGAATACCAACAGCTACCTTTGCACTTTTAAAAGTGATAACAATAGTGTATTATTTATTTCTGATATTTTTCATTTTTTCGGATAAGCACACAAGTTTTATTAGAAATTACTTAAAACAGTTTGTTTCGTTTTTGTTTAGGTTATTATTGTAATAAAAATTTAAAGAGAATTAAAATAAGTTAATAAGTTTTTATTTTAAATATGCAAGTGCTCCGGTTTTCGTGCCGGTGAGTGTATTATCATTTGTATTCTTTGTAAGATCAACAATACATCCTCTATATAATTATGCTCTCTAATAATTAGTTTAGTAATAAACATTGCAATAAATCTCAATATGTATAGATATATGACATAATAATTATAATTTCATTCTTATTTGAACTCTAATACTTTTAAATATATGACTAGCATATCCTCAGTATATCTGATCTTTTACCAAAAATGTTTTATTTTAATTTCAGGCTAGTCACCTGCCCAATCTACCCGAAAACGAAAGACTCAAACTAGCTCAAGTCCACAGAGACTGCCAAGCTGACCCAAAAACTTACGTCGACGAAGACAAACTTAGGAAGCTTCCAAACTTCGTTGAAGACAAACAAGTAGGTGTTCATATGCTATGCATGGCAGTAAAAGCAGGATTAATGAGACATAACGGTGACTTCGACATTAACACCATCAAACAAAAATTTGCTTTGGTGATCAAGGATCATTCCAAGGTTAACGGATTCGTCCAACAGTGTGCTACGAAATCAGACACTCCAGGAAAGTCAGCTATTTTGTTCACTCTTTGCTGTGTCAAAAACGGCATTGAATATTACCATAAATTGTAAACAAATATTGGTCAAATAAACATAATATTTTAAGAATGTATTTTTTTTATTTATTTATGCTTCAACCTCATAGGGTCATTGGCGTTGTACAATTTAAAGTGTTACAATCTATTTAGTACATTTGTGGAATACAAGTATGATGTCAAATTTTTCATATCAGTACCGTCACTTAATATTGCTTGTAAGGTATCTTGTAATTTATATTGAACTCTCTCCATGCAACATAAAGAACACTCCAGTAAAATATGGCACATACTGAGCACAATATCACATACATAGCACTGTGGTATTAATTCACTTTCCAGCAGATGTTTATGGGTGATAGCGGTGTGGCCTACTCTCAGACGAGATAGGATGGTTTGACGTATACGCTTATTTGGAGTTGATTTCCAAGGTAATATAGAATGTTTTCCTTCTCGTAGTTTGGATGTTGACTGATTCCACTTGGTCTGCCAATCATTGGTTATTAAGTTCTTGATTATAGTGTTTTATATCTAGATGTGGAATGCTTATGATTTCTACAGCTTCCGGACTCGAGATTGCTAGTTTTGCCAAGGAATCTACTTCTTCATTATTCATTACCAGCAATTCCGATATGAGAAGGAATCCATACAAAGTTGACATTTATGTTCATAGTTTGCAGTTGGCTTCTTCTTCTTCTTCTTCTTAGTCTTCTGTTGTCCATGTTTGAACATAGGCCTCTCCCAACTCCTTCCATTGGTCTTTATCCTGAGCAACATATTTCCAATTTGTTTCGTCTATTCTTTTAATGTCATCAACCCATCTCATCTGTGGTCTTCTTCTTGGTCGTTTACTTTCGTAAGGTCTCCAGTGTTGTATTGTAGTATTCCAACGTTGGTCTTTCTGTCTAGCAGTGTGGCCCGCGAAGCTCCATTTAAGTTTTGCAATTTTTATTTTTATGTCCTCGACTTTTGTTTTGGATCTTACCCAGTCGTTCCTCTTTTTATCTGACAGTCGTATACCTAACATTGTTATTTCTGTTGTGGCTAGTTTATTCATGTTTGCCTTGGTTAGGGTCCAGGTTTGACATCCATATGTCATGATAGGAAGGATGCATTGGTTGAACACTTTGCTCCTCAAGTATTGGGGTATTTTGCGGTTCTTAAGTATCCAACTAAGTTTTCCAAATCCTTACCATGCTAGTCTTGCTCTTCTAGTAATTTCCGCACTTTGGTTCTCTTTGTCAAGTCTCAGGATTTGGCCTAGTAGATATTCCTGATTGTTTATCTCACTGCCGTTTATAGTTATATGTCTGGGGTCTTCTGTGTTTGTCATTATTTTTGTTTTTTTCATATTCATTTTTAGGCCGACGTATTGGGAGCTGGCTGCTAGTTCCCCAACATAATTTGCAGTTCCTCGAATGTGCACGCTATAATCACTATGCCGTCAGCGAATCTGAGGTGGTTTAACTCGTTGCCATTAACGTTAATGCCATAGGTTGACCAATTTGTAGTTTTGAAGACGTCTTCTAGGGCTAGGTTGAAAAGCTTTGGCGATATTACGTCTCCTTGTCTACTCCTCTCTTAATGGGGATGGGATTTGTATTTTCATCTAGTTGTACTATCATAGTTGCATTTTCATATATATTATGTATTAGTTGCCTATCTCTTGAGTCTATTCTACAATTATTAATAGCTTGTTCCATGGCCCACATCTCGATACTATCAAACGCCTTTTCATAGTCGACGAAGGCAAGAAATACGGGTAGTTGGTATTCATTTGCCTTCTCTATCAATGTTCTCATTGTCAGCAGATGGTCTGATGTACTATATCCTTTGCCAAAGCCAGCCTGTTCAACCGATTGGTAATTATCCATTTTGTAGGTTAACCGGTTATTAATAATTCTCATAAATAGTTTGTATACTTGACTGAGAAACGATATAGGTCTATAATTCTGTAGATCATATTTGTCCCCTTTTTTGTGTAAGAGTATTACTAGACTCTCGTTCCAGTCTTAGGGATCTGTCTATTATGGAGACATCTATTAAATAGCTCTGTTAGTACAGGGATTGTTATTATCTTGCTTGTTTTCAAGAGTTGGGCAATTATACAGTCGTGTCCTGGAGCTTTATTATTTTTTAGTTCTTTTAAATCTCTTTCTATTTCGTATCCCTTTATATTTGGTAGTACTTCTGATCCCACGTTTTTTATTTTTGACGTTTTCCTTTGTTGTTATTAGGCTGACCTTGCGAGCTGATTTTTTGAACTCACAGTGCGGGTCTTAGAAATTTTAATCCTCTGTTGTTTTCAATGACTCGCTCTATTAAGTTCTCGTTCCATTTTTGTATGTCGCGTTTTAGTTCTTTTTTAATTGTTTTATTAAGTTCTCTATATTCTTGAGTATGTCGTTTGTTTTGCGCTAGTAGTTGTCTTCTTTCCGTCATTAGCTGTTTAGTTTCATTGCTTATTTTGTCTTCTTTAGTCCTTGTTTTCTTTGCGACCTGTAGTCCTGCTGCGAGAAGGTTTTTATTGTGGTTTATAATCTGTCAATTTGATCTTGATTATGTGAAGGATCAGATTCGAACTTATCCGCTAAGACCTCTCGGAATTGCTCTTCATTTGTTCTTAGTTTAAAGGCATCTATCCTCGTTGTTTTTTTTAAATCCTTTTTCTCTCTTCTTTCATGTTAATATTTATTTTTGCTCTGACTATACGATGGTCACTGCCCGTTGTTACGTTGTTTATTGTTGTGACGTCTTCAAATATTCCTTTGTTGTTTGAGGAAAAATAGTCTATTTCATTTTTGGTAGTTCCGTTAGGTGCGACCCATGTCCACTTTCTGTTAGTTTCTTTTTGTAGAAGGTATTCATAACATACATGTTTTCTTGTTCCAGGAATTCCATGAGTTTTTTCTCTCCTGTGTTTCTTATGCCGAATCCAAAGTTTCCAATCTTGCTTTTAGAGTCTTCCATCTTACTTCCAATTTTGCAGTTGGCTTAATGCTGATTTAATAAGTAGTAGACTTGGATGGCTAGAATATAAGTTATTTAGGGCAATTACAGAACTTAGGGAATCCGTAATAATGACAGACGACATATACATAGAGGTTCTAACAAAGTTGAGTGAAGACAATATAGACGCCTTGGTAGATCTTTTTAATGAAATTTATGGGTCCGGTCAAATACCACAGGACAGGCTTCAATCATCCTTTATACCAATCCCATAAAAGCCAAACGCTAATAGTTGCGACCAATTTCGAATGATCAGCTTATTGAGCCAGGTCCTAAAATTCTTCTTAAAGATAATTCATACAAGAATATACAACATATGTGAAAGAGACATTAGCCCCACACAGTTTGGTTTCAGACAAGGATTTGGCACAACAGAAGCACTTTATACCTTAACTGTCTTACTTCAGAAATGCAGAGATCAGCAAAAAGATATCTTCCTGTGCTTTATAGATTACCAGAAAGCGTTCGATTGTGTTAATCATTCAGAATTAGTAAGATAGCTCCAGGAACGTAAACGAACATAAAGAACCTTTATATGAATTAAGTGGCATCTGTGAGAGTAGGTCTGGAATCTACCTCATATTTCTCAATCGAAAAAGGTGTACGACAGGGTTGTATTCTGTCACCCCTCCTTTTTAATTTTTACTCTCAAACGATTTTCGACAGAGCCTTAAGTGAACGCTGAAGACGGAATCAAAATCAACGAACAGACTATTAGTAATCTTCGTTATGCTGATGATACAGTCATAATAGCTGATAGCCAAGAAGCGCTACAACGACTAATAAATAGAATAAACACTGAGGGAGAAATACTGGGCTTGAAGATTAATATAGACAAGACAAAGGTAATGGTGGTTAGTAGAACACAAAATATGCTATTAAATATAAGAGTTAACAATAAGAACATCCAAAAGGTCCCCAAGTTCAGATATCTCGGTAGTTGGATAACTGAAGATTTAGATCCAGACATAGAGATACGTAGCAGGATTGAGCAAGCCAGAACAGCATTTACTAATATGAGAACCTTGCTAAGCAACAGCAGCCTTAACTTAACGCTTCGATATCGCTTTGTAAAATGTTACATTTACTCCATACTGCTATATGGTGTAGAAACCTAGACCATAAAGGCCGATGTGATGAAGCTATTGGAGGCCTTTAAAATGTGGGTATTCTAGAAGACTACTTAAAATTCCCTGGACAGATCACACAATAAATGTCGAAGTATTAAATCGAATAGACAGAGAACGAGAATTGCTGCCAATAATAAAAAGAAGAAAAACTGCTTATCTGGGTCATATATTTCGAAATTCCAAGTACCAATTCTTAAAGCTTATTTTGGAAGGGACGATAGAAGGATCACAGGGCATCGGAAAGAAAGAAATACTCATGGCTTAAAAACATAAGAGATTGGACAAACCTCGATGCCCATGCACTCTTTAGAGCCACACAATATCGAGAGGAGGATGCCAGAATTGTCGCCAATATTCACTAATTGGATAGGGCATCATAAGAAGAAGAATACTCTTGACCTAGATCTTCTGCTAGAGAGTTCGAGATATTGTAAACATTTCTTTCTTGATCACATTTACCACAATATATGTATTAAACAGTGTTCAACTGTTAATCACATGAACGTTACACTGACCACATAGGGGTAAGTTATTCTTTGTGAAAAGGTAAGATTGTGTTAATTTGGTATGTCCTAGACGTAGACGCGCTAGCACAATTTGTTTACACATGTTAAGAGATGATGGAGTCCACTGAATATCTGTTTTTTTCTTGCAAAAGACCTATTTTTTTTAGAGTGTTCTAAAAAAATTTGCTTAGATTGTGCGGAAAGCGAAATGAAAAATGATCCGTAAATTACGTGTGCACGTTTTTTAGTTTATTTGTTTTTTTTTTTTCAAAAGTAGCATTTTTATGTTCATTTGTCATTCAACATTTTGTATATGTATGACTTCGATTAAACTTTTTTATTATTAATGATTTATTTCAAGTAATGTCTGCTCGTGTGTTTTTAATGGCAACATTTTCAGAAAATATATTTTAACAGAAATTTTCAAA